CAAGCACACACGCACGCACACAACACACACACACACACACACGCACACACACATGCACACAATACATGCGCATATATACACACGCACACACACACGCACATACACACACGCACACACACACATGTTGTTGCAGTGGAAGATGAGGTTTCCTCTCACAAGCTTCTCTCTCACCAGCTTCTCCTCTCACAAGCTTCTCCTCTCACAAGCTTCTCTCTCACAAGCTTCTCCTCTCACCAGCTTCTCTCTCACAAGCTTCTCCTCTCACAAGCTTCTCTCTCACCAGCTTCTTCTCTCACCAGCTTCTCTCTCACCAGGTTCTTCCTGTATTGCTCCATGCGCTGCTCCTTGGTGATGATTCTCTCTGCGTCGTCGGCGATCTTGTTGAAGAAGTCTCCCTTCTCATCGCACGCGTCCGTGGCTTCTCCCCCTCCTCCTGCCAGCTTCCTCTCTGCATCACATAACATCACGTCATGCAATGTAACATCGCGTCACGTAATGTAGCATCACGTCATGTAATGTAACATCGCGTCACGTCATGTAATGTAACATCGCGTCACGTCATGTAATGTAACATCGCGTCACGTCATGTAACGTCGCGTCACGTAATGTAACATCACGTCATGTAATGTAACATCGCGTCACGTAATGTAGAATCACATCGTGTCACATCATGTAATGTAACATCATGTCATGTAACGTAACATCGCGTCACGTCATGTAACGTCGCGTCACGTAATGTAGCATCATGTCAAGTAATGTAACATCACATAATATCACATCATGTAATGTAACATCATGTCACGTAATGTAACATTGTGTCATGTAATGTAACATCACGTTATGTAATGTAACATCCTGTCACGTAATGTTACGTAACATAACATCACGTCACGGAATGTAACATTGTGTCATGTAATGTAACGTAACATAACATAACATCATGTCACATAATGTAACATACCATAACATCATGTAACGTATCATAACATCATGTAATGTTACGTAACATCACGTCATGTAATGTTATGTACACGTAACGCCCGTTAATTACTAATCCTGTAATGTCTGTAAGCTCGCAGGCAGGCAAGAAAACGTTGATTTCTAAGCTCATTAATTTCTAAGCTCGTTAATTTCTAAGCTGGTTAACATCTAAGCTCGTTAGTTTCTAAGCTGGTTAACATCTCAGCTCGTTAATTTCTAAGCTCGCTAACTTCTAAGCTCGTTAACATCTAAGCTCGTTAATTACCGACCCTGATCGCTGTGCTGCGTCTGTGCCTTCGCGTTGAACTCTTCTAGTGACATCGGTGCCGGCTTCCCCGACTTTCCCGCCTTCTTCCTCCTGTTTCTCTCTGGGCGATCAGGGTCGTCTCCCACGGCAACGCGCTTCTGTCGCAAATAAACAAGCGAACGGCCGCTGAACGGTCGCCGAACGCGCGCGGAGAGAATCGCGTTGGTTGCAGGATTGCGAGAACAACACGAGAACAACGAGTCACTCGCATGCTCTGGCGATTTACAGTCAAACCTGTGTATTAGGGTCACTCGCATGCTCTGGCGATTTACAGTCAAACCTGTGTATTAGGGTCACTCGCATGCTCTGGCGATTTACAGTCAAACCTGTGTATTAGGGTCATTCGCATGATCTGGCGATTTACAGTCAAACCTGTGTATTAGGGTCACTCGAAGAAAATGCCAAAGGTGTCCGCTGTAAACAAGTGTCCTTTATAGACAGGTGTCCTTTATAGACAGGTGTCCTTTATAGACAGGTGTTTATTCTACAGAGGTGATTTCACTGTACGACTGCCACTCAAGGGAAATGCCGAAAGTGTCATTCATAAACAGGTAACCGTTCTATGGAGATGGTTTTTTACTGAATAACCAAAACTCAGGGAAAATGACAATTGTCCTTTATAGACAGGTGTCCGTTATAAAGAGGTGTCCGCTAACACAGGTTTGATCGCACGATGCTCACGCTTCAACTCCGGACTAAATTTTCGCTTCCCTGATGGAATCCCCTCCTAAATCCACAAAAATAGAGCCCAGGGTTCAAGCTGTCATTCGCTCATTCGCCACATAAGAATTAAAGTTGAATTTGGCGAAAAAACGTCATTATAAATTTGGCAAAAAGCTAAAGCTAATTTAAATTAGGCCTGGACCTTCAGGCTGAACTCAAATTCTACTCATTAGCGACCGCTACAAGCTACACGAGATCGCTACTTGCTAACCCGAAGCATGAGGTACACTGCGTGTGTTCATTGTTTACTCAGCATCGAAACTTTTCCGGAAAAGACCGAAAATTATCAGTGTGGCCTTCGCTACACACTCGACTACATTACATAGTAGAATTTGGCTAAACATTTTCAGACCAAATTAGCCAAATTGCAAACATTTTTGGGGTCCAGCTTAAACCCTTAGAGCCATCTTTTACTGCTACGCGCACGCATCTATTAAAAGAGATTCTCACGGGCAGTTCTCCTTTCACTAACCTGTCGTTCCTCGTTAAACTCTATCTTGCTTTCGAGCAAGGCCTGCTGCAGATCTGACTCATACACCTCTGCAACAAACTAGACAATAGAAAAGTAAACACCAGGTAAACACAACATAGTAGAGTCAGAAAAGGTCTCCCCTGAAACATTTTCAATCGAAAACTACATTCTAAATTGCTTTTCACTTAATATATACAAAACTATAAATATACACCAACTTTGATTCATCACTAACTGCCACTCTAAAACCAGCGCCAAGCCGAATTAAATCAACAGAGATTATAAATATCACAGAGTTGATTAGACACCTTGTTCACGATTACAGTCATATAAAGAGGGAAAATACCAGTGGACTAACCCCCTACTGTAGCATTTACTGTGAAAGCAGCTGCGGGGCCTCAGGGTTACTGAAACGGAGATAGGCACCGCCCTATGCGCCATATAGGCGCGGGAAGGATTTAACTATTTAAAGAGGGAAAAGACATTTACAAGTCTCAAGTGTGAAGGGAAGCTTTCTTTGCCATGTGTAGCTACAAGTTGTCCTTAAAATAGAAGTGTAGAGAAGGGGAGTGACATTCCCATAGTGGGCACATAAAATGTGTCTGCTTTCCTACCTACAGGTTGTCCTTAGGCATAATGTTGAGCCTCCTTCACCACAACCACGGCATTGTCAAATCTAGCGGTATAATAACATCTTCATACATGATGGAAAAATACTGATAGAATCTTCAACCGTGATGACAGTGGTCGAAATATTTATCTAGATTAATAGTATACACTACACACACACACCCACACTCACGCACACACGCACGCAAGCACGCACACACGCACGCACGCACGAACACCCACACACACACACAGACAAACACACACACACACCCACACACACGCACGTGCACACACACACGTACACACGCACGCACACGCACCCATGCACCACGCACGCACGCACACACACACACATGCATGTACGCACACACGCGCGCTTACGCACAAACGCGAGCTTACGCACACACACGCATGACTACGCACACACACACACGCGCTTACGCACACGCGCGCGCTTATGCACACACCTCAGTGTCGCGCTTCTTCCAGTCATCCCACTGCTCTGAACTGGTGCTGTCTGTCCTCTGCTTTTCCGTAGAAGACTCCTCTTGGGCCTTGTGCTTACCCTTCTTAGCTTTGGTCATGAATAGCATACTCTGCAGCTGAAGCGAAGAAAGAGCCGCCACCGTAAAGCAAGCTACATGCTCGTATAACGCCTACGCTACGGTAACCGTATCACATGATGACAAATATAACATGCGTCTAAACAGAGGAATTGCTCCGACCTGTGATTGGAGGATAAAAATAGGATAAAATTCGTGACGTTTCGTTTTCATTTTGGCATTTAGCCTACGAGCGATACCGCGCGTACATATTTGCTAATTAATTAAGCTAATCGCGCTTCAATAAACTTAAGACTCACAGGGATCATAGCTAAGACATGTGACGATGTGTCTATAATAGCTAGAATTTATAGAAATGTAACTCAAATCGTTCGCGCCTTATGATAGTTAGTACACTTTCCTACCAGTCATAGCGTAATAGCGTATGCGACGGGGTATGCAAAATGAAAACGAAACGTCACGAATTCTATTTTTATCCGCCAATCACAGGTCGGAGCAATTCCTCTGTTTAGACGCATGTCAAACATAGATGGAAGCCAACCTTGTGTGGCTGCGTGCGTGGCTGCAAGCGTGCGTGCATGGCTGTATGTGTGCGCGCGTGCATTTGTGCGTGCGTGTGTACGTGTGTGTCCATGTGTAAATATCCAGCACACGACTCCATTAAAATAAGTTATACTTATAACTTACGACTAAATTGTAAGGTACCTCCAAGAAATGTTTGCTGATGTACGTTAAATTACGAACGTATATATGCGCACACATTTGCAACACCAAAGCCTCGCTCCCACATCACATGCACTCACACTAAACTTAACTAGCACAAACCTGTGTATGCCATTGCAAACACGCATTCACGCACGTACGCACACAAGCATGCACACAAGCATGTATATTCTGGCCCGTAGAGTTATCTTCACACCTCATACGCCGTATAATCGATACGCATGTGAGCAAATTTACGTATGGACTAGAGAGAGAGCCTCAGTTGTGAGTTGAGAATGAGATGAGTGTCTGAGAACACGGCTCAAGCCAAGGATAGAGAGCATGGTTAGCAATTAAAGCAGATCTTTTCTGCCAATAGATGGCGCCACTACGCTATATACACTAGGGTCCCTATATACAGAGTTGCGACATGACGAGTCGGAAAAAATCGGTCACGTGATCGCTGAACGCCATGTTGTTTCCAAATGGATCCACACCGCTGCCGCTTAAGTACAGCGCTGTATGGATACGCTGTACAATGGTCCGTAGTAATTAATTAGACTAATCGTGCTTCAAAAAATTCAAAATTACAGAGATTATAGCTAAGACATGTGTCTATGTGTATCTAGATTTCTAGAAATGTTACTCAAATCGTTCGCGCCATATGATAGTTTAATTGTACACTTTCTTACCGTCCATAGCCGTGCATATATTAGCCTGTGCGATATCGCGCGTAGATACTTGCTAATTAATTAAACCACTCGCGCTTCAATAAACTCAAGAATCACAGAGATCATAGATAACACACGTGTACTTGCACACGCACGCACACACTGATGCGTGATGTATATATAATGATATATTGTCCATTGTATATATACTATATATAGGGACCGTAAGTCTATCTAGACACAGCGTCGCGCATCTTGTGGCAGCTGCATTGATGTTACAGGTTCTGGTTCTGGTCGCGAAAGAAAGCACACGCACGTGCCACGTGCGCGTGCGTGGTTTTGTGTCTCTTTGTGCGATGTGTCTACACGACGAACCTTAACTCGAGTTAAGCGTTAACTCGAGTTAGCGATTATGTAGCCTTTACACGACAACACCCGATAGCGATTATTACCGATTTATTATGCATGCGTGCGTGTGTGTGTGCGCGCGTGTGCAGGTACACGTGCGTGCATCAGTGTGTGCGTGCGTGTGCAGGTACAAGTGTGTTATCTATGATCTCTGTGATTCTTGAGTTTATTGAAGCGCGAGTGGTTTAATCAACGTATCTATGGTTTAATTCAAGTATCTACGCGCGGTATCGCACATAGGCTAATATACGCACGGCTATGGGCGGTAAGAAAATGTACAATTAAACTATCATATGGCGCGAACGATTTGATTTTGAGTTACATTTCTAGAAATCTAGATACCTATAAACACATGTGTTATCTATGATCTCTGTAAATTTTGAGTTTTATTGAAGCGCAAGTGGTTTAATTAATTAGCAAGTATCTACGCGCGGTATCGCACAGGCTAATATACGCATGGCTATGGGCGGTAAGAAAGTGTACAGTTAAACTATCATATGGCGCGAACGATTTGAGTTACATTTCTAGAAATCTAGATACACATATAGACACATGTCTTAGCTATAATCTCTGTAAATTTTGAGTTTATTGAAGCATGATTAGTCTAATTAATTACTACGGACCATTGTACAGCGTATCCATACAGCGCTGTACTTTTAAGCGGCAGCGGTGTGGATCCATTTGGAAACAATATGGCGTCAAATCCTGGGTTGTCGCAACTCTTTGTATATATAGGGACCCTAATATACACTATGTGCTTGTATAGTGCTGAGCTATATATATAT